TATCACACTCAGATATTTAAATCACAAAGATCTGAGGGGCATTGCCACTGTCACTGCGCCTGTTGCCCCGAGACACGAGCCGACTAGTCCTATGATCAGTAATTTCACCAGCACCGTTAACTTTCAAAATATGTAAAGTGGCAGTACTTCCCTGGAAATCTTTCCATCAAAACCAAAACGTGGTCTGGCACGGTTTGCTGGAAGACGTTGGTTCGAATCCAGTCGGATCGAAGAATTTTTTTCTAAGTATTTGATCTGTGTATCAATATTTATATTTTAACTAATTTTACAGTACATTGTATGATTACAGCAATAAGAAAGATACCAAAACGAAGTATTCGCTTTCTAGTTTCAAGGATAATAATAATTTAATTTAATTGATTTTGCATGTTCATAAGAGAATAAAATATTTTTGTAACGGAAGTGTAAAATTGTTGTTCCCATACATACAGAACTTGAATTTTTTGGAGTTAATCGAGTAAATCATCGACTCTACAAACAATATAAAATAAGTTCAAAATATAATTTGAAAAACATTGCATTTTTTTTAATTAAAACCTATTAATTTGATTTAGGATCAGATTGTCGATGGAAAAAAAATAATGTTCCATATTCCCATTATTTTTTTCCATCCTCTAAACATATCTCTCTTAGCGACTAATTTCTTTGGTAGAATCTTTAAACCTCTTGAAAAGTCGCCATTTTGCCGATGAGGCCTTATAAGGCACCACGGGGAGGATATTTAAATCCTTCTACCTTTAAAGCTTTTCTCCATCCTCTAAACTTTAAAGCAATTATCTGACTTTATAGTATTACATGTACCAAATAGGTTAACGTTTGAAAAATTAAGACCTTATTTATAGGGTATAAACTTTATACTGAAATTTACAACTACGTCAAAATTGACAAGCACCATTTGACTTACAGTTCCAATACGGTAGAATAGGTTCCAATAATTTGTAATATAAATATAAATTGAATTGCATATCGCATAACTCAGATAAACCATAAAAGCCAAGATGAATATCCCAGAGATCCAGTCATACGAGGACCTTGCCATCAGTACCGTGGTCTCAGTGATCAATAAAGCCCAGGAGAAGTTGGGAGTGAGGAATAACTTATTTGAATATGCCAGTAAGTCGGTAAAAATGTATTGGAAAAATTACATTACAAAAAAGGCATGTTTTGTGTGTAGGCAATAATAACAAAAACAGTCACTCATAGCCATCGCTAGGGAAACCCTGTGTCGCGGGTGCCATGGACACACTCATAGACAACCACAAATTACACCCAAAGTAGGCCATACAAAATTTGGCTCAACCCGGGAGCTCTGCGTGGCAGATCAAAACGGTAACCGTTCGGCCACGGGGGCAGTTAGTACTAAACGCCCAGTAATTATATATAATTAGGTACAACACCAGGGGTTGTATAATTAATGAACAATTGAATTTTGCATCGTCACCTTTATTACGGGTTTTTTCGGGTTATAGATATAGGAAAAAAGGGGAGATATGGTATGGGGGCGTGGTCCGCGTCGCCTCGATATGATCAAAATGACAGGTGACACGCATACAAACATCGCCACAGTGACATGGCGATCGTTGTACATACAAGATCTCTCGTAAAACGTGAAAATGCCAAGTTGTAGAGATACACCTTGTAAAAATTGGAGTGAAAACAAAAATTTTAAAACCAGTGAGATAACATTCCACCGGCTATTTGCATTTTTAGTTACTATTTCTATTATTATTCAATGTTTTCTTTTTGTCTCCATAGAAATTTCTATACTCAAATATAGTGATGTTCATTTACGAAGACTGATGTTTATAGACAATAAATGTTTTGTAAGTCAATGACTGAAATGTTTGAATTTCTTACTATGATTTTTGTAATTAAAGTCCCTAAAATATCGAAGCGAAAAGCATTCACGTTAAATTGATTTATTTTATTTTATTTTATTATTATTATTATTACTAAACATTTTATATCGAGTAACTTTAACACAACTCATATTTCGGACAACCGTTTCAATTTCTTGCTGTTGCTTGAAGAAATATTTATGTGTTTTAGATATTTAAATTCCATTATACTCGTAGATTAAACGTAGAGTATTTTTAATTTTTAAGTTTTTCCAATGAGTTTAAAATAAAAGAAGGTTGGATTGAAGCTGCAGGAAAATCGAAAGATTGGTTTTCTTATTACTATTTCTGACTTTGTTTCAATTTCCATAGCAAATGCATTTAAAAAATAAATAAAATAAAATCGGCTTTATTTTACATGTGCATGCAAAATAAATTAGAAACAATTGTAGAAAATTACATAAATCCTTCATAAAAAAAACAACATAATTTAATTTATTAAATTCATTGATGGTTCGAGTTTACCCTTGACAGTGACATCTTCAGCAACCCGTGGTAACGTATAATGGAAAATTGAGACTGGGGACGATCGCCATATTTTTTATATTATTATAAAACTGACACTGGTCCTAGCCTAGTGGCCGCCATTAAGAAAATAATAATAATTAATATATTAATTTAATAATACACCAGTACCAGTGTAGATATAGTATGAAGAAGGGAATATTTTTTTTTTATATTAAAAACAGCCACATGGTTTCCAACTATCGATTAGGTAGGACCACATCCCTCGATGAGTAGCGTCAGTTTAAGGTTAATAAGGTTAACAATTCACGGAGCGGTTTCCATCCGCGCCCGCCGGTGCTGCTAGACAGCTGTTTTATTTCAATACTCACGACCCTGCAAGTTTGTGCGGGCACGTAGCTGCCGCGGTTGCGGGCACGAAACCGTTGCGATTGCGGAACGGACCGCGAAGTTAGTGGGAGTTAATTGCAAGTCGCGCGGTTAATAGAGAACTTACCCTGCGTGCGCCTGCACCACATTGCGCCTGAACCAACCGCCAAAGTGTGCGGGTGACGACGGCCGCCAAGCGCGCAGGTCATCGCGTCCTGCGCGGTTCTACAAGTACCCCACCGCGGCAACCGCGAGCAACTGTCATCACTACAGGCGTAAAACGCGCCGTGAAATGTGCTACTAATTTTACATACTTAACTGTTACATTCTACAGATACCGCGGTCCCGCGGCAGACGCGGGTGATAACCGCTCCGTGAGTTCTTAATGTAACGAAAAATGAGTTTCAGCGCCATCTAACGTGTAATGTTTAGCTATTATATACTAGTAGTATTTTTACTAAAACGCCACCTGTTGGTGAATGGCTGAACCAGGATGTAAAAAATACTAAAATATTGTAATAGAACTCTTATTGAAGTGACTGTAAGTTTAATTTTTAAAGTTTAACTGCCTCTGTGGCCGAACGGTTACCATACCGGGCTGCCACGCAGAGGTCCCCGGGTTCGATTCCCGGGCCGGGAGAAATATTTGTATTGCCTACATTTATTTCTCTCGTGAGTTTGGGTGTAATTTGTGGTTGTCTATGTGTGTGTCCATGGCACCCGCGACACAGGGTTTCCCTAGTGCGAGGCTATGTTGAGTGTATGCGTTATTATTATTATTATATTATCATTTTGTTCAATTTTAAAATGGTTTTACGTCATTTTCACGTTTTAAGCCCTACCCAATCAAAATCTTTAAGTTATGGTAATAGATAATAGAGCGTAAAGTTTGAATTGCACACAAGCTAAAAAGTGGCAACATCGGCACCCGATCTTACATAGCCTCATTACATATCTCCACTTTTTTTCTATATCTATGGTTTCAACAATGGCAACACTGGGGGTAGCGGGGTATAAATACACCAACCGTTTTGAACGAGCTCACTCTTCGGCCGAGCGTCGAGCAGTCAACAGACCCTGAGGATCCTCGTGGAGATGTGGAGATACGTGTCGGGTATATTTTTGGTGATGGTTTGTGACTGTAGTTGCGCTTGTGTATTTTATACTCTATCCCACCCTCCCGGTGTTTTGCACGATTAAACCTTCACTGGGTTCGCGGAGTAGCAAATTAATTTTCTTCCATTTTTATTAACATAGACTTCCGCAAAGTAACGCTTGAATCTATTAATTACCTAAACGCTCAGACTAAATGTAATAACATGCTCCAGAGCATTGACTTACAAATAAATGGACGACGGGTCTAATACAAAAACCACGAAAAAAATGTCCCAAGTCAACCTATTCGAAATTTAAATTGTAATGTCATCGCAGTATCGCGCTGTCAGTAGAACAAATGAAGACTAAAGCGGAGTTTGGCGCTCTGTATACGATTTTAGCGCCTTACAAGTGCGGACACTTTTTAGCGCGGACCCGATGTCCACATAATTGTAAGTCAATGCTCCAGAGGGTCTACTCCTGTCCCCATCCAACAACCGTCCAAAACAATGACTGTCAAATAAGTAATACCAGGCCAAACTAAAAAACGCATGATGCGAATGAACATAGTCTTTTGATCAAGTGTCACCGAGTATTGAGTATTACCCACATCTCCGGCATCCCTATTTCAGATACCTTTCATAAGTTCGGCCATCAGCTCCTCTCACTATCCGACCTGGGTTTTCCCCTGGCTATCACCAGCGAGAAGTTCATCAAACACACTATCGAGAAGAAGTGGAGACTCACTGACGCGCTGATGTACATCATCAAGTACCATGGCACTTCCGACGATGAGTGCTCGCAATATTACTATTATGAGGTTTTTGGGTTTTCCTTGAATACTCCCTAAGATAAACATACGTACTTATAGTGCAATGTCACCACCTGGGCTGTCTGCATCCAACAATCGGCTCCTGGTCGTTTGCTCCATGTCATGAGTAGGTGCATCGAGTATATAACCAGAAATAGAGACGAAATGTCATTTAATTTGTTTGAAAACTATTCTGCCATATCATTACTGTGACAACTGCATTCCGATTGGCCAGGCCGAATTCGAAACAATTGACGTGTGTAGTCAATTGTTTCACTTCAAATCGACAAATTAACTTGAACTTATAATAATAATATAAATAACTAAAGCTGTAATGGACGAAAATTACATATTTAATTCCCGATGAAATTTGATACCGTTTGTTTTGTAATTAGATGTTTTGCTGTTTTTCCCCACACCACCGAATGTAACAGCGCGCTATTGTTAGAGATATTATTTTTATTACAATAAATATAGAATATTTTTGGAATATAAGGAGACGTACACACTGGTCACTTCTTGACGCTGTACTATTTCAGCTTTCTAATTTGTAATTTCAGTGCAAACGAGAGTTGATATTTTGAAGTAAATTATCACTGATGAGGTACCAGGAATGTAGGGCCCTTATTTCGTCTCTGTTTCTGGTTATATACTCGATGAGTAGGTGAGACGTTGATAGCAGGTTTTCTCGGCGAACATAGCAAATATGATAATGAGCCATGATAGCTTAATGATTTGACCTATCGACCGCCTCTCAAGCAGAGATCGTGGGTTCGAATCCGGGCTAGCACCTTTGAGCTTTTCTGAATATATGTGGGAAAATTAATTTGAAACTTTTCGGTAAAGGAAAAGATCGTGAGGAAACATGCACGTCGAAGAAGGTTCACAATCCTTGGAAAACTTGTGAAGTTCCCATTGTTACCGCATTGAGCCAGCGTGGCGGACAGGCTGCTAACAGTGTGACCGAAACCCGACTTGAAAACCGACTTCATGCAGCAGAGATCGACTGCCTGTAGTAAAGTCGGTATGAACTTCATGCTATCGTGGTCTCGGTTGCATGAAGTTCATTACGACTACACGCATTAACTGCAAACATGCAGTCAATTTGTTTGTAGTCTAAGGCTGTGTTACCACTAGAGATGTAGCTAGGCGGTGTGCGAAGAAAAATCCACCAATAGGATTACTTCATTTTCCCAGCGTCGTTTACTGCAGCTTTGGTGGAAAAGGGCTAGCGGAGCTTAGTATTTGTGCATACAAAAAAGCTAGAGATGTGTGCAAGTGATGCGAGCGATGAATGTGAGCGTGGCCGCGTGGTGCGCGTGCGAGTCCGACGTCGCGTACGCTCACCCCACCACACCGCACCCCACCCGCGTACAGCTGAAAATAGTCCGCTGCTCATTCGCATCGCTCAGCTATAAACCGTTTCACAGCACCACTACACACCGCCTAACTACCTCGCACATCTCTGGTGAAACCGCAGCCTAAGGTCTAAATCCTCGACTGAGAAGAGACCCGTGCCCAATAGTGGGACGTATACATGAATTGACGATGAAGGCAAATATGTGGTTCAGAGCATTAACCTAATAGGCACTTCTGATATTCAGCTCTTTTAGCAGATAATGCGGCTGCTCCAACGTAGCTGATTTTTCCACACAGGTAGTATCCCAAACCGGTAATTAAGCTCAAATTATATTGCAGCGGAACGGAGAATTCCGCGGAAGATTTTGGCTCGTATCTAGATTTGTACGTTACACATTGACCTCAAAGTCCATTATGCTATGTACAATATCGTTACAAAAATTCGCTTTCGTTCCCTTCCGCCGCAATATAAATTGAGCCTTAGTCCTCCGCTTTCCATCCAAGGTATGAATTTGAATATATGGATGTAGGAAATTGTAACTGATCTTTATCATCATGGTTGGTAACAGGTCATCTTTAGCCAACCCACGGCCGCGCATCCAGTTCCACAAACCACCACGTCTGTGTTCTTCAGGGTTGAAGAAAAATATGTGGATCCTCCGAAGATCAAAGGAGTTCCCACTGTACGTACCAATTTTGGATTTGGTCTGGCAAGCAAGCCTTTTAAGTAAGCTTCCATGTCATGTGCTTCCTACTACCTATGCATATACTGATGACAGCACAGTTGTAGATAGGGTACTTGATCTATTCAAAGGTCAGTGGAGAGGAAATCCAATCTTGTCGAGAGTCTATGGTTAGCCGTTTAGATTTGACACTCAAGACAGTTTCCGATTGGAGCGATGGCAATCTTGTCAAATTTAATGCTACCAAAACGCAGGTGTGTCTATTCTCCACTAAACGAAGTCCCTTTGAGCTTTTCGTGATATATTCATACCGATAGCCGACCATCTCCAGCTACTTGGAATAGACCTATCGTCCAATCTGAATTTCGGCAGATACATTGAATCCATGGCCAAAAATGCAACCAGGAAGCTTGGCATCCTTCCCAGGGCGAGGCGTTACTTCACACCGGGACAGTTGTTTCAATTGTATCAAGCACAAGTCCAGTCGTGTATGCAGTACTGCTATCACCTTTGGGATGGCTCTGCTACATACAACTGGCCACCTTGGATTCAATTGATAAGCGTGTCACGAGGCTTACAGGTGACTCGGAATTAGTAGAGGCGAAGCTGCAGATTCTTGAGCACCGCCGTAAAGTTGCCTGCTTATTGGTATTCTACAGGATATACCACGGAGAGTGTGCAATGGAATTACACTATTTAATTCCGCCTTCCCCTTTCCATCATCAGGGGACTAGGCGTAGGCTTGTATTACACTCCTATGTTGTGGATATTCCAAAGATTCGCGCGAAGCGTATGTGTGCGTTATGTGGCGAACGGCTATGGAGTGGAATTTCCTGCCTGCAGACTTATCCCTGAATGTTATAACTTGGACCTTTTCAAGGCGAGAATGAATAGGCATTATTTAGGTGTGCATCTCCATCGTCGACCTCATCGTCACTTTCCATTAGGTGAGATGGAGTTCAAATGCACACTTAAATTGGAATAAAAAAAAATACAATTGTCAGTAAATCCATTGCATTACGTTTTTTCAAGACTTCAGAAAAGGTTTCCATTGTAAAGCATTCATTACATTTATGCAGCTATAGTAAGATTGCGTTTTGTAATACCAAACATGTGGGCATTCCAATATTTTTTTAACGTGACATATGAAACGTTAACCAACCGACCTTCCAAGCTAACAATGTGCAAAAAGTAGGTAAATACGAGCAACGTATAAAGGAAAGCCCACACAGTCAATTACTAAAACAATGCTTTAACTAATATTGTTTAAAATAACCAATGTGAGTCAAGGGGTTCAATCAATTGTTCAACAATTAATTATTATATATTGCCATTCTTTCATGTTTGTACATATTGCCGCATTGTGATTCACGGTCGGTTACAGCATTTATCCTTTTATGGTGAATACGTAGTATAAATTAATATGCTCACACGACGTTATAATTATAACTTGTTCGTCCTATCACTTGATATTATAAAAAAACCACAAAGCTGTATAAGAGTAAGAGCTCTTACACATAATACGACGTTGCGTCGTGTTACGACGTCGTGTCGTGGAAATCTACAATGAGCAACGTAAAAATTCACGACACGACATTGCAACGTGCTTCGACACACCGCACGATGTCGTATCGTAGAAACTCACGGTGATCTCCCCAGTGCCGCATTCATTTGTTATTCAATATTCAAAGATGACAGACGACATTGAGGTTGATTATTTAATAACCCTAGTCGAGGAGCGTCCTGTACTATGGGGACAAAACATCAGAAGAATACAAAGTCATCTTTGAATATTGAATAACAAATGAATGCGGCACTGGGGAGCTCACCATGAGTTTCTACGACACGTCGCGATATCGTGTCGTGAATTTTTACGTTGCTCGTCGTTGATATCCACGACACGACGTCACATCGTGAAACGATGCCGCGCTGTGGCACGACGCGGCGTCGTATCGTGTTTATTTGTAAGAGCCCTAAGTACTGTAACCATAGGCATACAATTGCTAGACGTTGTGATTATGATGTCTCTAGCTGTCTGTACGTAGACAAATATTCAATTTTGTAATAGACGTATAAGCCATTCTAAGAGCGCCTTCAGATTGTCACCCAGAACCATGATGAGAATTTCCATGCGCCTGTAATTTTACCAGCACCCTTAGGGAGCATTTATTCGACACGAACTGCATCGTGCTCCACGATGGAGATAGCGTGCATCAAGCTGTCATGGCAAAATACGCTCTATTTGTATAGCTTTTACGTTTTAACTTAAATGGGCGTTTCAGACGCGCGGGCTAGGCTGGTTTGTCCTTGGTCTACGCGATGGCCGCGGGGCGACCGCGCAGTTGTATTATTCCGAGGAATTTAAATGTTTTTGCCTAGGAAATAGAATTCAGATTCGCCATTAATGTACGTGAAAGCGTAGTAACTGGGCGGTCACTGCGCGAATGAAATTCGTGTCGAATAAACGCGCCCTTAGCCTTCAAAACTAAAATACGTAATGCTCATATTAGTGCTTGGCGGTAAAATAGGTAAGGTGGCAGTATTTCCCTGGATTAACCCTTTCACAAGGAGCTTGAAAAGGTTTGTAAACCTCCAATAGGGAGCAGCAATAATAGATTACTCAGTTCACATGAATTTGTTATATAAAATAAAGGTGAAAGGCTGTAACAATAAAAATAGTATAAAAAAAACAGGTACAATATTACAAAACACTCCCTACTTAAATACTAGAAAATATGTGTGAGACAACAAAGAACTTACCCCGGACGGGCCGTATTTTTTACAAATATTATCTAAGTTACTTTATTTTAAAAATATTAGATAGGTTACATGATTTAAATCGGAAACTGGTAAACGGATCAAAATTTGTGGTGAAGACGAGCAGGAAACCTTCAGACATTAGGTAGAGAGTGACGATGGGACGAAACAAAGTGAGAATCATGAGGCAAAGGAATTAAAGAACGATTCAAAATTTTTAAAATAACTGGCCAGGAACCAGAGAAAAGGTGATAAAAAGGCAGGATGACGATGGTGGAGGTCGCATGCCAGAACCTCTACTGTTACCAAAATTAAAAATAGAAAAAAATGTACATTGAGTAGTTTATTTGTGTTCAAAACACATAAGAATATTTGATACAAAAACTTTCATAATATTTTAATTAGCAAAATGAAAAAAATACTTCCATTTTCAGTTTAAACTTAGTAGAATCCGGGACAGTTGCTTCAGCTGTATCAAACACAAGTCCGATCGTGTATGGAGTACTGCTGCCACCTTTGGGATGGCTCTGCTACATACAACTGGCCACCTTAGATTCAATTGACAAGCGTGGCAAGAGGCTTGTAAGTGACTCGGAATTAGTAGAGGCGAAGCTGCAGAGCCTTGAACGCCGTAAAGTTGCCTGCTTATCGGTATTTTATAGGATATATCACGCAGAGTGTGCGATGGAATTACACAATTTAATTCCGCCTTCCCCTTTCCATCATCGGGGGACTAGGCTTAGGCTTGGCTTCCAACCCTATGTTGTGGATATTCCAAAGATTCGCACGAAGCGTTACGCTTCCACATTTATTTGGCGAACTTGGACCTTTTCAAGGCGAGATTGAATAGGTATTATTTAGGTGTGCGTGCTTCATCGTCACTTTCAATCAGGTGGGATGGAGGTCAAATGCATTTTTACATGTGAATAAGAAAAAAGAAATAAAATTTAAAAAATATTACTACACATAAAGGGCAGGTAACTAATTGAAATATGACTTTTAATACTTGATTAAATAGATAGTAAATAGAACTAAAGGCATTGACTTACAATTATATGGACGTCGGGTCCGCGCTAAAAAGTGTCCGCACTTGTAAGGCGCTAAAATCGTATACAGAGCGTCAAACTCCGCTTTAGTCTTCATTTGTTCGACTGACAGCGCGATACTGCGATGACATTACAATTTAAATTTCGAATAGGTTGACTTGGGACATTTTTTTCGTGGTTTTTGTATTAGACCCGTCGTCCATTTATTTGTAAGTCAATGACTAAAGGGTACAAAATTATAGTAAGTTTTGCCTTTTTTGTGTTGTTTTTGAAGTAATTATTATAATTGAACTACATAACAAGAGCGCAGTTCCGTACACTACTAATAAAAATTCTTTGGTCTTTAATTCAATTTTTTTATAGAAAAAGAAATGTGCATTTGACCTCCATCTAACCTGATGGAAGGTGACGATGAGGTCAACGACGGAGCATACGCACCTTACTTATTTCTACCGCCAAACAGTAATGTGAGCATTATTGAGTTCCGGTTTTGAAGGGTAAGAGAGTGCTGGTGAAATTACAACCACATGAGACTTGTCATGTTTCAGGGTGACAGGAACAGTGTCACTGTGTCACAGATCTTTGCGATGTAAAGCTCTGAGTGGCACTCCAACTGCTATGAACAAGAGTGTCGCTAGACATCAGGCGCACGACTTGTTTATCCTGTCACTTGGTATCGTAAAAAAATAAACATTCTAACTATACTTATTATTTGTCAACTCTCATCCTCAATATTTTAAAACACGCGGTGAAGTCATTCAAAGGCAAACTAGAGCAAAAATTATGAATCTCCTATACCAACCTCGTTGCCATAAAGTAATTTATAAGAATAACTGCTTCAACATGTGTATAATTATTTACAATAAATTACCAAACGAAATTAAATTGTTACAAGGACATACTTTTAAATTAAAATTGACAAAATGGCTTTTGACACATTGCTTCTATAGTAATAAAGAATACTTAGAATTTACAAATTCATTACATTAATTAGAAACTATAGAGACTAAAGAAACATTGAATCCCATTAATATTTGCACATCTGCTTGCAGGTTGAATACAATGTACCTAATTTTACTTAAAACCTTTGTAATTACTGTATTCTGGCAAATAAA